AGGCGGCCCTTGGCAGCGGCCACTCCTCAGGCGGCGAGCGGGGCCTGTTTCCTCTCCGGCGGGAAGGAAGCAAAGAGGCGGCTCTTCCTCGGTCTCCCAACCGACCTCTTTCCCGCCTCTACAGCGCCACCAACCGTCAGACGGACTGAAGGAGGGAGAGCGAGAAGCTTCTAGAAAGGAGGAAGAGGAAGAGGAGGAGGCGGCGGTCTGGTGGGGCGGGAGGAGGAGAAGGGGGGGATGACGAGGCTTTGAAACGGTGGTTGCGGTCGTCGTTCGGGGCTGCGCGCTTACAGGGCGAACGCCCAGGGCCGGAAATGGCTCTCCGCTAAGGAAGTGGTCTCTGGATCCGTCTCCTCCGCGCTGCCTTCCGCGGACGCCCCGCCCTCCTAGCCAGCCCATTGGCCAAGGTGGCCACGCACAGCGCTCATTTGCTACGTTTATTGTCTCCTTTTCCCTCCGCGGACCTCCCTGGGGTCGGCTCCATTTTGTTCACACCATCCTGCCCCCCCCCTCAGGGCGGGCTGCACATCCCCCGACGAGCTTTGCGGCCGACGCTGGATTTGAAGCCCGGCAGCCGCACATGCCGCCCCGCCCCCCCGGAGAGAAGCCGGAGCGCCCGGCCTCGCCGCCTCCTTGCCCCCGGGACAGGGTGGGGGGGCGCCACAGACACAGGTCGGGGAGGTTCGGGCTCGGCCGATCAGTCGCGTCTTACTCCCTTCTTGCGTGCTCGTCACTTCATACGACAGGCAAAACGGCCCGCGGTTTGCGTGTTTGTTGCTTCAGGAGCACAAACCAGCTGCTAGGTCCCCGACAGACCGTCGGAATGATGGCATTCTGGTCCCGGGGAGGGGGGCGGATGGGGGGGCGGCACAGGAGCCGGCCTGCCTGCGGTCGGGCCGGGAGGGATCAAAGGGAAAAAGAGCACGTCTGCACCTGCAGATGCCCCGCAGGAAAAGGAGGCAGACTCCGCACGAGGGCTGTCAGGTTGTGTGGGTCTACGTCCCTGTTTTACTAAAACGGCGGGAGATGGGGCTCCGACCACAACTAGGGGCAAAGGATTTTTTTAAAATAATATTTCCATATTTTTATTTCTGCCTTTTCACCCAAGTAGGGTTAAAACCTTTGTGTCTGTTACCTTCGTAATTGGCCTTACCTTCCTTTTACCGATTCTCCCCATCTAATTAGACTTGTAAGTCCATTCTTGATGCTCATTTTTAAATTAACGTTTCTGTAATTGTGAACCATTTTGTATATATTTTGTAGTCTTTATGCGTTTATTTTTCAGCATTCTCCTGTTTTTTTTTTCCATTGCTAGTTCCCAATAATTACTAGTAATTGCTAACTTGGTGTTGCACATGGACCCCAAAACGTCAGAGGTCAGTTATCAAACCAGAAAACATTGCACTTAGTAACGACATCCATGTATGATAATTGAGTCTTGGTCTGTTTACACTTCAATTAGCAACATCTTTTATGTGGCATAAGTAAAATGAATCTCAGCAGCAAATCGCTGCTACTTAACAAGTCACCACTTCAACGTTCTTCATTGCATGCAATGTTCAGGCAGCTGTTCGGGGCGAGTTGGCGGAGGGGAGGAGAGGCCGCTCGGCTCGCTTGATCCTGCGCGGCGGAGCTTCGTCGCGAGGTTCTACTGGCGCCTGCTTTTCGCGTTGCAGGGGCTTGGAGGAGCCTGGCTCCCCGGGAATCCGTCGGGGTTGGTGGGCCTGGCGCTGGGGCTTCGATGGACGAAGCCCAGTGCAGAGTGACTTGGAGTTGCTCGCCGGCTCGGATAATTCCCCGGAGAAACACCCCCACCCCGGAAAGATCGGAGACGTCTGCGGGAAAGCTTGGAGGAGGTCTCTGCGAGGCTTGGTGAGCCTGACGTGGAGGGACTGCGGAGGGCCGAGAGGCTTGCCGAGGAGTTCGCTGAAGTTTGGCACTGGCTCGCTGTGGGATTCTACTGGGAACCCGTTGCGGGGACCCATTCGGAACTGGGAGGCTCCACTGATGTCAATTGCCAGGGGAATCCCTTTCCCGCCTTATCTCCCGGCATGCCCAGCAAGGATTCTCCATCTGTCCTCTTGTCGCGGAGAATGGCAACGCTGGTGGCATTTTTACCAGCTATTCTCCTGTTATTTCCACCCCTCCTTCCAATATTGGACAATGCTTTGTCCTTGACTGCTTGCTTTACAAACTCTGCTCCCATACACTTGAACCTATCTCCAATAGCCTCCTTGAGAAAAATAAGACCTACAGCCAGAGTGCAGTTCCACAGACTAACAACATGCTGAGTAAAGAAATATTTTGTCTGTTCTCATTCTCCCAAAACTCCATTGGAGTGGGTGTCCTCTGGTTCTGGTATTGAGTGACAGGGAAAAGAGCTTCCCTCTATCCACTTTATCCATCCCCTGCATAAATTTAGATGTCTCAATAATGTCTCCCCTCAGGCACCTTTTCTCTAGAGTCTAGACCAGTGGTCAGGGAACAGGGGTAAATTACCCCAAATGGGGTAAAAATGAAAATCTTGGGGGTAATGAGGACGGTCGCGGCAGGCATTTTACCCCCAGGCATTTTTTCCCCGACGATGCTGTGTGTAGGCGGGCATTCCGTTGTGGTGAGAGCCAGCCCCAGCAAGGAACTGCACAGGGCACCCGCCTGCCCTCCTCGCCTCTAAAGTGTGTGGGGGAGGGTGGCATACTGGGCCAGCTGGACTCTTTGTCTGGCGGAGCCCTGGCCAGGGCTCTCCTTCCTACCTCGCCTCACATGAGCTCATGGCCAGTGGACCTGCTGGTCCTGTGGCACCCGCCTCCCCTCACCAAGGATGTGCTTTCCCAGTGGTGTGGTGGCTCCAGACTTGCTGCCCGGGCGGTGGTGGCAGGTCCTGGGTGAGCGCAGAGGCGCAGCGAGAGCGAAGGGGGGGTAATGTATATACGTATATAAATTTTTTGAGGGGTAAAAGGTAAAAAAGTTCCCTGCCCCCTGGTCTAGACTAAAGAGCCTCAAACGCTGTAGCCTTTCCTCATAAGGGAGGTGCCCCAGCCCAGTACTGTAATAATTTTAGTTGCTCTCTTCTGCACTTTCTCCAGTTCCACCATGTCTTTCCTGAGGTGCAGCAACCAGGGGTCACAGATTACCTGGCTATTATAAAAGCAGATTGCAACTTTAAAAAGGTTGGGAAACACTGGTCTAGTAGGAGAACTGGGAAACCAGCTGCAAAGGCTTGGCAGACCAAAGGCTCCATCCACTGGAATAGGTGTGACTATTATGTCCAACATGACAAGTTCTCAACATAAGGCACACATATCTGTTGGTGATATTCCACAAAGCTGTCTCCTGGTTCTGCCTGCCTCCGCTTCTGCTCACTTTGCTGCTTTCAGTGCTGTGTCTCAGCTCTGAACATAACTTTTCCACCCAACTCAGTGTTCCTCAACTGGTTCAGAGATCCAGAGCAAGTGTCTTTTTGGTGTCTCTGTCCACCTGCTTGGTGCCAGAATGAAGCTGGAGATAAGTCAAGGTGGATGTGGGTGGATGAGCTAAACATGCATGTGTCTGGCATGCATATTCCATGCTGTCTCTGTCAACAACTACTACCAATATCCATCTCTGCTGCTTTCCTGTTTTTCAATGCAATATATTAACTCTGAATTTGCATCTTATATCCAACTTCTTTCACTTTAGTATCTCAACTATATTTCTTGCTCCTTCAAGCAAGTTGAACAAACAACATATGACTACTCCAGCATAGTGTCCCACACTGATTCAGGGACTTGGCCTGCCACGAATTTTAGCTGCCTGGCCTGCCTGTTTTGTCAGGACAATGTAATGGGATCTAGTGATTGCTATGTAACTTGGTCCAAAAGATCCATGTATCTGGGACTCGCATATGATGCTGACACACTATCTGGTGTCATTGCCAATAGATACTTTATCTCACCTGTCTTTTTGTATAGTAGTTGAACACTCACCATGTTTTGTTGTTGTTGTTTCAGTACAGAACTATAGAACTGAATGTATAATTCTTTCCTGCTGCAGCTTGATGTCTTTGCAACAATACGAGGACTGTGCCCAATGGTTTTATAGATAAAATCGGCCCAAGACTTACCAGAGGGCTACATTGTGGAAGAGGCAGTGGCCAGGCTTCCGCGCTCCCTAGCTGATCTCAGAAGAGTGGCTGGCCATGTGGCGCTGCCACACAGCTCTCTGGGAGCTGCCCAACTGGCAGGGATCAGACAAGCACCCCCTGATTGGTCAGTGTGGGCAGTGGGCGGGGCCAGCAGCTGGAGGTGGACCTGGAGGGAGGAGTTTTCAATTTGGTCTGCCAGCCTAGCATTTAATAGGAGCTGGCCTGCCAGTAGCCTCAGTTGCTTTTGGGCAGCGTTCCTGGCAGGATCTCCTGGTGAAGAGAAGCAGGGAGGGACAGCGGCAATGAGGCAAAGAAGAAAGCCAGGGAGGAAGAGGCAGCAAAGAAGAAAGGCAGTTGTGAAGAGCAGCAAGGGCGTGGGGAGGCAGCGGAGAAAGACAGGACTATATCGGATCAAGAAGACAACAGAGGGCATTGCCTGCTGGAGAAAGGGGGCACCAGGGGTTGGGAGGCCTGCATAGCAGCTCCCCCAACAAAAAAGGGAGAGGGAGAAGAAGAAAAAATCAGGGGAAAGACCTGAAAGGGCATGCCTATACCACAGCTGATATCACAACCCCCCCCGGGAAAGGATCACAAACCCCCCACAACTTTTTTCCTTTCCTTGGGTGGCTTCATATAGGATGCCTCCCAAAAGAAAGGCACCTGCTGCTGGGGTGGGGGGAAGCTGGGCCCCTCCCTCGTATAGGTAATACAGAATGCGGGCAGTCCACTGCAGGTGGAGCTGTGCCCTAGTTTCCAGGGCCGAGAACAAAATGCCCAGCCAGCAGCAAG